AAGCAGCGGAAATATTGGACAACAGCTTCCATATTCTTTGGGCAAAAGAGAAAATAGTGTAATCCAAGTCAACTGGGGCATTGTCTTCATTCAGCAGTTTCGATAGTGTAAATTGATATTTGGTGTGTAAATCAATATACCTTGTCATAAAATACCACCTGTCTAACGTTAAGTTTGTTAATAACTTTAGGTTTCTGTTCAGTATTAATACTTGTCTGTGCACTTTATGGTAAAGTATTTTTGTATTTGCATGGGACAGGTTGTTGTTCAACCGGTCACATTGATGTGATTGAACTTCCATACACTGCAGTGTGCTACCAACCCTCGGAATACTGGTCCGCTTAACAGAACCCATTGATAGGCGTGTAAGAGCTAAAATGCGTTGTTATACATCGTGTAACCCAGTTGAAATATTATTTTTAATGAATATTTTAATTTTAATGAGGATCATATTATCAAATAATTCACATTCTTAAATATTAGCTGAACCGATTTTATTTCATATTTTGTTCAGTGTTTCTATATTTAAGTTTTTGTTCTCGTTACTAGTTGTTTGATAAAATTCATTGTAGTTATGAAAGCAAAGGAAAACAATGGGCAAAAGGACGTGAGAGTCATCTGCCGGTGGGTTTACCTCTGGAAGTTGCCGAAAAATATCATACGACTAAAGAACAGGAGGGAAAGCACGAAAAGAGAGTGTCGGTGGTCTACAGAACGTCTATAGAGCCTGCTGAATCACCGCTTCTAGAGAAAAAAAGAAAACTCAGAGCGCTGCAAAAGAAACTTAGAGAAATTCGCGCTCTCGATTCGAAAATCAGGTCAGGGGACCTAAAGTCGCCTGAGAAAAACCAGTTGGAGAAAATTTCAAAGAAAACTGAAGTCGAAGGACAAATCTTCGATCTTCAGGGAGAAATTGACAGACTATCTCTGGAAGATCTTCAGCCATGATTCGTTTAGCTGAGACGAATCGTAAATTATTGACCGATGAAGTATTTTATTTAAGACTTTTCAACTTAAAAACTTTATTC